AATCTCTAAATATCCCCATATATCTTTTCTTTATTAGAGAACCTTAATTAGAAGGATTCCTTGATTTCCTTCCTTATTTTACTTTCTTCTCTGGCTATATATTATGTAGTCTTCTCCTTGTATTACACAGAACAACAATAATAATATACATTCTACTTTTCACGAGTTCTTTCTACAAAATCCTTGATTTCCATTCAGGTTTTCTTCAATCCCGAGATGTACAGCAGTGATTTCTCTACTCCTCTTCCTGCTGTAATAGATAAGTGTATTCAGTCGGCACCGATAGACACAAGAAGAGCCCTGTACAAGGTGAAGTAAATTCTTTGATAAATTGAATCAGGATTATGTTCAAGAATAATTTCTTTTATGACATGTAAAATTGAAAAAAAAATATGACATGTAAAATTGATTCTTATCTAATGGGGCTTGGTAGGGTGGTAATTAGTTAAACCAATGAGATTATAATGTATTATGTACACTAGCCCTACTAATGAAAATGCCTCAGAAATCCAAATTAAGCTTTTAGGGTCTGTTTTACTTGTTCAAATTCCCTCATACTGGCATACAGCATATATTGTAGCTTGTTATAAATTATAATAGTATGCACAATTTTCAGAATATTGTATTGTCTGGTGGATCAACCATGTTCAAAGATTTCCAGAGAAGATTGCAACGCGATTTAAAAAAGATAGTTGATGCTCGTGTTCTTGCATCAAATGCCCGATTGGGTGGAGAAATAAAAGTCAGCCTCTTTTTCCTTCCAGTTATTTTATTACTTTAAAAATGGCTAAATGCACTGTTTTAAGTAAGTGTGGTAAAAAACATTAATTTTTAAGAGACCTAATGGAACATTTCACTGTTAGGCACAGCCAGTGGAGGTGAATGTGGTCAGCCATCCAATACAGAGATATGCAGTTTGGTTTGGAGGCTCTGTGCTTGCATCCACTCCTGAATTTTTTGCAGTACGTGTCAATGTCATATTGATATAAATGTTTATTTTGATTATTATTGCTATATTTTATTTGAAAATTACACTTGTACAGTTGTACTCTATTCTTTTACCTATTGCCTCAGGTTTGAGTATCAGGAATCATGATGTATATACTGGTTAACTGGTGCAGTAATTGACTTTGCATGCTTTCTTCTTCTGGTCCTGGAAACAAAATGTTCAAATTATAATCATGTTCTGAATTAATCATAATCCACATACATGTTTTACTTGAGTAAGACAAGAATTTAGATTTACTGTCTTGAGCGCAAAAAGAAAGATAAGACGGCCAAAACAAAAGCTACACATGTTCCGATCTATATATGCCATTCGTTGCTCACCCGTGGTTGATCCTAATCTGGATTCTGTTCTTGCAATTTCCCAAGCACATTCTTAGTCCCTAAAGTCTTGGGTACATGTTGGTTTTTAAAATATATGGTGTATACTTTAGGTACATGTTGGTTTTTAAAAATTTTGCTAAATCAATAAATAGTTGAAGATGGTGTCATTCATTTCGGTTTGTAATGTCAGAGAAACTATTTATGAAGACTCTTGCATTTAGGTGATGCTTATGTGCATAGTCCCGCATTTCAGTTCTCCATCTGCGCTGGTATGAACTAGCTATAGCCTATAAGCATCTTGTTTACTACTGCAGGCTTGCCATACAAAGGCAGAGTACGATGAGTATGGAGCCAGCATATGCCGCACAAACCCTGTATTCAAGGGAATGTATTGATAATACTTTGGTCTCTTATATTCACATGAGAGTTGGTTTCTTTGAATTCTCAATCGGGAGCTGCCTTCTTTATGCTGCCGGCTGGTTAAAGGTGGTGTAGATACTAGAAGGTAGACTAGTCACTAGTTGGTTCTTGCCGTAACAGAAACCCCTCCTTTCATGGAAGCTCTCTGAAAAGAAAAAATGATTTATATTCTTATAGAGGTATAGAGTCGTGGTTTTGGTCTCTTCAAAAAGTGCAATGCAACGTGATACCTCTCCTCTGCGCTTGTGTGTATCAACAGAGAAATGAGTAGTCATTTTCTCACGAAAGCTTTGCAGACAGAAGTTTTTTTTGTGTGTTTCAGTTAGAGTGCTGGATTACTGATGCAATATGTAGCTGATGAATTTCGGACCAGTGATATGAAATGCACTTTGATCCTTCAACTAAATCTTGGGATATCAATGTGAATTTTGTGCAGTATACCCAATTACTACAAGTTTTGTTTATTTAGATTTAGTTATAGCACATTTTAGCCTTTAACGTCTTGATGATACACTATTACTCAATTCAGTACTCAAATCTCCTTTAAATAATTTGATCTTCGAACATGTAATTTGGATCTAATTTAGTCCTATGGTATATTTGGCTCTTGTAGACTGACTTTCATCCTTTCAACTGGTTCAAATGGTATTAGCATAATAGCATTGCATTGAGTTCAAATACGAGTCAATGACCAGCTTAAGTAATAACCTGTTCTCAGGAGATAAAATCAAACATTTGATGTCGCTATAAACTATTATTGGATCAGCCAATGCCACTTATCAATGCCGGTCAGTAGGCTTGGACTCGGTGCGGGCCACCCGGCCCGGGAACCGGTTCCGGGTCTAGGCCCGGTTTGTGGGGGTAACCGGGGCGGGTACGGGCTACGGGAAATGCGAACCGGCCCGGCCGGTTCCGGGTCCGGTTCGGGCCTAATTTTTTTTCCTTCATTTTTTTGGTCTCCACTGGGTGGGGGCTGGGTGGGGGCTGGGTGTTTTGGGGGGTTTGGGGGGTGGGGGTGAGGGGGAGGGTCAGGGGTAGTTAGAAAAGTAAAAAAAAAATGAACCGGCCTGAGGCCCGGCTCGTACCCAGTGGAAACCCGGGCCGGTTCCGGGCCTTCCCTCAACCCTCAAAAGCCCGGCCGGGCCTAGGCCTGACCCGGGCCCGAACCGGGCCCGCCGGCCCGGTCCATGACTACCGGTCAGTGACCACTGTTGTTCAGTGATCACCGCCCGATAGTGACCACTACCAGTAACATAACTTTGATGCCATAATGATTGCTCGATGTCTCCAATGACCTAAATGACTGGCTGCCCCCAACATCCAATGACTTCCGTGAGCCCGTGACTGATCTTCGGGTCACTGACCAAGTGATCATAGCCCCCTATCCCTTTCCTACCATCTGTCCTACCCTGCTCCAACCCTGATGTTAATGGAAATATGTACAAAAGAGAACATTTTAACTCTTTTGTATGTATTTCCATATATTAGAGTACTGAGGTATTTATAATGTTTAGAGCACTCCAAATCAATTATACTCCCTATAAGATAATAAAGAATCAACAAGAATAGTTGATCTTTTTTACTGTGAAGATAACAACTTATAAGTTATAACCGTTGCTTTGTGACCATTATATATTATTTTCAAAAAATGTATAGCTTATTTTGAACAACAAAAATTCTATAGGTACCCCAAAATGTACCCCATTTTGTACCCACCCCCCTGAATTGCTTGTGTACACAGGCAATTCGTTTGAAAGAGGGCATGACTTTCTGTCCAAATGTCTGTGTACACAGACGGTGTACAGATTGGGGTACAAATTGGGGTACCCCAAGCAGGACTCTTTGAACAAAATGGTACACCATTTTACCATCTTGGACGTTTTCCCTTGACTGTTTTAGTCCCGGTTAACCATTTGAGAAAATGGTGAGACTGGTTGAGTCAATCAAACTATCAGAGCACAACAACATTTTTTTTTAAAACGCTCTTGATATAGCAATGGATCAGACCATTAACATTGGACCATATTGAATGACTATTTGGTTAAGTGAATTTAAAGGTTGCAATTTAAAAAATAACAAAAACAAAAAAACAACAGGCAAGCTTAGTCCGGTAATCTAGCAAAACGTCAAAATACACGTAAAAATTAAGACTATTTGAATATCACAATTATCTATATTTGAAATTAGTAAACTTTTTTTGCAACTTGAAATTAGTAAACTTTGATGTGTACTATTGTTTATATTGTCAAATTTTTAAAAAATACATCTAATTCATTCATTCTTTGTGTGAAGTTTATAATGTATATGTCATACGTATATACCAAAATTACAACTTTACTAGTCTCATTTAAACAACTATTTATCTAAGCTACAATGCTACATATTAAACATTCAATTCGTGTGTTGTTTAAAAATGATCACCTTTTTATTCTGTATTTATTTAAGTTTCGTTCCTCGTAAATCATTAGTGATTTCGCCACCTATCATAGAGTAGTTGTTTGAACTTTGAAGCGCTTCAACCCAATATCTTGAGAAATATATTGATGACAACATCTCTGGACAATAATATTAATGGCACTTCAACCCCGTCAAGGTGAATAAAGAAACAAGGAATATTAATGTTCCCTATTTTCTCGAGGAGCGAGAGCCGGCCCTAGGCGGCGAGCTCCCGGGCAATCAGATCTCCTAGTCTTCACCTCTCCGATTGTCAAGAGTTTTCAACGATGACCACATTCTCTGTGCAATAATGAATCAAATGTTTTTCTATGCTTTCACTCTTTTTATTTCTACATTCTAGGGTCTTGATTTGATTTCTTCTTCGACCGAAAGTTTTGTCCGTTTCAGATGAGTGTTAGATATGTGCGTCTCCTATTAATGTCTAGAGACTGTGTATTCGTCATTGGTGTAACCAGTCGAGGGGTGTATTACTTTCCCTTCTCCTGAGCCACCATCTCACTCCAAGAGAAAGGTAACGCTCAACTAAATCTCATTTTTGATGATTAGTTAAATCGGTGATACAACCACTTTTTGTTCGATTGAGTTCCTTTTATTGGCTATTGGTCAAATCAATTATCCCTTTCTCTTACACTAAACAATTATTTGTATTTGTAATGTTTTACTCGGTATTATTTTTTTAGAATAGCAATTGCATTAAGATCGATAAACTAGACTGCATTACTATAGAGTTTGTGAGTTGAAAGGATTCATAGGAGTAACAATTGCTTTCTATTTCTTATAACTACATATATTTGTTTAAAAAAACAATAACAGGAGTAACAATCAATCATTCTACGCATGTTTTTGTCTATTTCCATTGTCCCATAAATCTATCATTTACTATATTCCTCCCCAGATAAATTGGAAATACAAAATAATTTTACTTGACCAGCGATTGTACGAATCGAAAGAAAGGTTAGCTAGACGAGGAGAAAGGAGCTGACTTTCGGCTGCTGGAGGGAAAGAGAAGAAGCGTAAGAGAAACTACGGCAACTTTACTGATGTTCGATCATTTTCATGTATTTCATCGCAAGGATAAACCTAGAACTAAGTCAAATCTATTTCTCTTTAGAATTTTCGTATGTTTTTGTTCATTTTACTAATTTATCCATCGGAGGTCTGTTAATTTTTTGGCAAATCTCCTTTCAGCTCTGATGCTTTAGTTGTTGAATAAAAATTCAATTTTTGAATTTGAATGGAGACACATATGTATTGGAAGAATGTAGTCTTGATTTTTGTAGCCCACATCCTGTGTTATTTTTCCTTGATGTGGGAGCTGTAGATTTTTACAGGGGATATTGTTCCTAATTGTACGATCTGGTTCATACGTTTATTTGATCTGAAAGAATCTGTCCATTTCTTTGGTTGTAAGTTTGTAACATGTAATATCTTACATTTTCTCTTCACCTGAAATTTGATATGTAATCGCATTATTTCCAAGGGTGCAATTCGACACTCATATCTTTGCGAACTCAGAAGTACTTTGGTGTTCTTTTCTGCGTGGGTTTGCCTTAATTTTACGGTGACACTAATGCACAGGAGGATGTGAAATTAATTATCAATTTTAAATGATTTCAAATAGGCGGAGATAAATAGTCCTCACTGCTAGTTAACATAAATGGATCCTACAACTGATGATCAATTAGATTTTGATGACGAGGACTATGGAGAAAGCCAAAAGATGCAGTATCATGTAGGTGGAACTATACCTGCACTTGCAGAAGAGGAAATGATGGGTGAAGACGACGAGTATGATGATCTTTATAATGATGTTAATGTGGGAGAGGGTTTTCTTCAGATGCAGCAGTTTGAGGCCCCAAAACCTCCAGATTCCGTGGGAAATGGAGTATCCCCAGCTCCGGAAAACGATACTAATGAACCAAGAGTTGATGCTATAACTTCTCCAGAGATGAATCCTGGTGTACCCAGTTCCGGGCTGCGATTTCCTGAGCAAAAGAGCCGGTCTACGGCTGAAAGGGGTCCTGATCAAACTGCTGCTTCTGAAAAGGCAAGGCCTCCATCAATGACCAGTGATGCTCAAGTTGGTGGTAACATGGCATTTCACTCATCATCAGTTCGAATACCTCATGGAGCCAGTTCTGACCCTGTTCATGATTTGTCGGGCAAAGGTACTAATGAGTCATTGCCGTTGCTGAGTTCTGGTGCAGGTGGTGGTGGTAGTTCAAGAGCTGCTCCTTTGATGCCAGCACATCAAATGAGTTCTATTGCTGACACGAACAGCCCTATGATCAATGAAAACCATATAAGGCCAGCCATGGAGAATGGAAATACAGTGCTTTTTGTGGGGGAGTTGCACTGGTGGACAACTGATGCTGATATTGAGAGTGTGCTGATTCAATATGGGAAAGTGAAAGAGATTAAATTCTTTGATGAAAGAGCAAGTGGTAAATCCAAAGGTTACTGTCAAGTAGAATTTTATGATCCTGCTTCTGCTTCTGCCTGTAAAGATGGAATGAATGGACACATTTTCAATGGACGAGCTTGTGTGGTGGCATTCGCTACTCCTCATACAATAAAGCAGATGGGTGCTTCTATTGTAAACAACAAAACCCCAACTCAAGTTCAGACTCAGCCACACCAGGGAAGGAGGCCCATGAATGAAGGACTAAACAGAGGCAGCGGGGCAAGTTTCCCCAGTGGAGATACAGGGAGGAATTTTGGTAGAGGTGGGTGGGGACGTGGGGGACAGGGAATGCCAAACAGAGGTCCTGGTGGTGGGCCTGGAAGGGGAAGAGGTGGCATGGGTGCAAAGAATATGATGGGTGGTAATGTACCTGGAGTCAATGCTGGCATGGGCATTGGAGCTTATGGACAGGGCCTTGCGGGTCCTGGTTTTGGTGGTCCTCCTGGAATCATGCATCCACAGGGAATGATGGGTCCTGGGTTTGATCCTGGTTACATGGGCCGGGGAGCTGGTTATGGAGGCTTTTCAGGCCCTGGTTTTCCGGGGATGCTTCCTCCGTTTCCTACTATGAACCCTATGGGGCTCACCGGGGTGGCTCCTCATGTAAACCCTGCTTTCTTTGGCCGTGGGATGGGAATGATGGGTGGTACAACAGGGATGGATGGTCCTCATCAAGGAATGTGGACCGATACAAGCACAGGTGGTGGGTGGGGAGGAGGGGAAGAGCATGAAAGAAGGACAAGGGAGTCAAGTTATGGTGGTGAAGACAATGCGTCTGAATATGGGTATGGAGATGCGAGCCATGACAAAGGGGGGGCAAGGTCAAGTGCTGCTTCTAGGGAGAAAGAGCGAGCTTCAGAACGTGACTGGTCGGGCAACTCTGAGAAGAGGAATCGTGATGAAAGAGTAGATAATGACAGGGACAGGTATGATCGGGAGCATAGATACAGGGAAGAAAGAGATGGTTACAGGGATTACCGCCATAAAGAACGTGAAGTGGATTATGACAATGACAGAGGTCACTCTTCAAAATCTCGAAGCAGATCCCGAGCAGTGCAGGAGGAGGATCATAGATCTTCTCGTTCGAGGGATGCTGATTATGGGAAGCGGAAAAGGCTTCCATCCGAGTGACATAGTATTTGTCAAATAAATACTCTGTTACGGAAAGTGTTTTTCAGGATGTCTTAGTTGGAGTGCTGGACTCCTATAACCAGGGTCCACAATATTATCCTCACAACATTCCTCTGCAGACTGCTTGAAAGGGTTGCTGTTCTTCTCCCTAAATTTTATGAAGTAAGAATTTAGCCTAACTTTCATTCTATTTATGAACTTGAATTGGTTGAAAACATTACATTTGTGCTAAGATCCTGAGCTTATTAGGTCTCCGTGGTATTTCATAGTGTGTGTTGGGACTTAGAGCTCTTTGTTGCTCGCTGCTAGTCTTCATCGGTCATTAAGGCATTTCTGGTTCCGTCAGCTCTTTTGAGCTGCATTAGTCTTCACCACTTTTGAAACTTGAGACACTTGGAACCTTGTTATATATTGTTATGTATTTTGATTTGCTTTTTTATGCATTCACCTTTGCTTCATGAAGAAAAGGTTTTTTATGAACTCTTTATTTTTTTATTGCCTAGCTTAAAGGGGGTAATGCTGTGGATGGTGTGATATCTTACCCAGTCTGTGATATATGCTCATGTGAATGATGTGAAGTTTGAATCTTCATATCTGCTATTTTAATGATCCATTCCTTTGTCCATTCTATTTTTTTATGTTAAGTGGTCATAGTATATACCATTTTTATATGGATCATATAAGATTTCGGTTCCTAGTAGTGTAATGGTTTTCCTGGTTTAGTTCTAATGGGTTAAAACCAGAATACGGTTCTACTAACCTACTAACTTGTGGCTTTTTACGGACAAGCATCCTTATAGTGGATTTTCGGGCTCTGTATTTTACTATTTATAGGTGATAGGTATTGTTCGTGACAGTGCATTTTCTTAACACGCTCATAAAAATGTTCAAATGTTTTGTTATTTTTATGTCTGTATTCTGTGCATTGTGCTAAATGGGAGTAAAAGCATCCTGGACCACATATGACATAATCAAGTGTCTGATTAATGCAGTTTAGTTGTGATGTTTATGCATGCAAGCATACTTAGTTTCAAGTTCGGGAGTTGGGTCGTGGATTGTTTTGAAAGGGAGGGTGTTTGAGGGCCAAACATATATCTTTAATAAGAAGTGAAGCAATGTCATAATCTGTAATAATAAACCATTTCAATCACTCTATATTTGTTTTTCAGAAACATTCTTTCTATCAAGGTATTGACTAAGCCCTCTAATGTCTTCCCCTCCAAAGATATCTTTTTCTGGGTCATTGTAAATGAGGAGCTTCTTCTAGGTATCACAAGTATATGTTAAAATATGTGTGCTTTTTTTTTACAAGGTCTATAAAAGCTGTTAACCTCCGCTCATTCTTTTGTTTGAAGCTGGGGATGTTACTTTTGCCTTTATCTTTTCAAATATATGTGTGTCATGTCAATAGTGAATCCCCTTTGATGAATTTTGACATGAGAATTTTTCTTTTACCCGTATTCAGGGATCAGAGAGGCAACTCTTTGTTTTCATGTCTAAACCCGCATAAGTTGGTTACATGGAGGAAGATGAGTTAACTTGGCTGAATTCCCTTACAAGTCCTTGTGTTATGGCCATATTTTGTTTTACTTGTAAATCTATATATACGGTTTCCTCCTCTCCATGAAAACTTGTAGATAACAAACCGTGATATGGCCTGTTATTGGAGAAGTTTTGCCTCAAAATAGGGATGTGTCTACCCATCTACTTCCATACATTCCATTTTTAAGCTGTTCTGGAAGACTCTTTGTACTGTTTCCTGTACATGTAACTGTTCCAAACTTGTGCCTTTGTACTACCAGCCTGTAAGATTTTTGTGTATCATCTGAAGTTATTTTTTCAGCTTTAGGGTAGTCAGATTGAACTGTTGTATGCTCAATATTGTGTTGTAAATTTAAGCAAGTAGCATTATAGTGGAACAATAAACACCCTTCTTGCCATGGAACTTATGAGTCTATGACCAGAGGTTAGATACAACCAACAGAAAGTACATTCTCAATGAGCTATCTGATGAGCGGCTTTATTGGGCATGGTTGCATATTGCATCTGTATTTGTCAATTTGTTCCGACGACCAAGAGTGATGTGTAAATGAAATGTAATAAGATTCTGATATTAGGACTTGTATCTCTTGTGTTGTAATCAGTTCATACCTTTTTTGTAACTTGTAAACCCGGATTTTGTAGTTAGATTATAATATCACACTGTAAAATTCCAATGTAAGTATGCAACACTGACCAGAGGGTTGATGTCCATAGATATTCTTTTTCTCTCTCGAAGTTTCATTTTTGTATCGTTTGAAGGCTTATTTTACTAGGGGTTATACTCCGTATGTATTTGATTTTTATCCCCAACCCCAAAGTACATATTAAGGGTGTTATAAAAAAGGTACTCCATATTTCTAATTCTGATTCTAAGAATCACATTTGGAATTTGTGTTGCGTGGGGAACTCGTTAGTTAATTCAAAAGAGTTTGGATTTGATTATGAGAGAATTATATTGAAGTGGATTTAGAGGTTGTTGTGATGAGATTTATTGAACAAAATAACTAGAAAGAAAGCGATAACCTTGACCTGGGTTTATATTCATTGGGTGATGTGTGTCTGATACGAATAAGTTTCATGACCCAAGAAGAATCACATTCGGAATTATGTCAATGTTCATTAGGAAATGGTTCTTGTGATTTCTGTCTTTAGAGCCAAAGAATCAGTTGTACAAAAGTTTTATCATTTTATGTGCACCTTGAGGCATCACCTTTGTTTTACACCAGATGATGCCCTTTAGTTGGAACTGTGAATGTGAATTTTACTTTCCTTTATTTCTTTCTCTGTGGGGACCGGGGAGATTATTGTAGTCACTTCTTATCCATAGGCATTTTCAGTCTTCTTTTATTGTTTCCTGCAAATTTCTGCATTGACTAAGCGCTGCTCTTTATCCATTTTCACCCATAGAATCTAACCTCAAGTCTTTTGTCAGGTTGTAGTTGCATTTTAATACACAATGTTTTGTTTGCGAAATTTGGCTTTGGTCTTGCATTTAATTGATAAATGAGCAGGAACAACTCGTGGATGGTTTAATTTGACATAGGGGTGGACCCGGTTGGCGGTCCCCGGTCCATGCCTAATTTGACGAGTAAATTGTAAATTGTTAGCACTGACATCTTCAGTAACATATTTAAAATTTGCAGAAATTAGGTTGCACAGTTGCATTTTAGTAACTCTCCAGGATTTCGAATATCTACTTTTAAATTTAGCTAGAATATCTTCAAAATAGAATAATCTTTTAGTATTAAAACAATCACTTATAAAATTGTGACGTCACAATCTACTTATCTACCCTTAAGGCAACCCCGTGACTCCGTGAGTAGCGACTCTTTTCCCCATCCACCACATGGCACATCTACTTGCCTTGCTAACCCCGTCTTCTCATATACGGTCAACGTTTAAAATTACTCGTAGTTATTTAGAGAAATATTTATGCATAACATACTAGATGGTCACATTTTTTAAAGTTTATTTATCCAATGAATATGTATTCCATATGAATGCACTCATGACTCATGTAAGGAATTAGATTCTCTGCGGCATGGTAAAGGTGTCTTGCACAACGACAACTGCAATAGGGGATGAGAATTGTGTGCGGCCAAAGTTGGATCTTGTGACTACAATATACATGCACCCTACTTGGCTGCTAAATCCAAATCTCCATGTAATGTATAGTGCGGGACCGAACCCCGTCCGGTTATCTGGTCCCGTGCTTGGACTGGTTACCCGACCAGGTTTAGGGCGGAGTCTCGTGTAGGTTGTTCCAGTCCCAACGGTCATTTGTTTTTTGTTTTTTGTAAATTAAGGGGAACTGGGTCGGAAACTAGCCATTCCAAACGGCTAGTAACGGCTATAATGCCGTTGGGTTGGGGGTGGGGGTGCCGAGAAAGAGAGAGAGAGAGAGAGAGGAGAGATGAGAGAGAGAGAGAGAGAGAGAGAGAGAGAGAGAGAGAGAGAGAGAGAGAGAGAGAGAGAGAGAGAGAGAGAGAGAGAGAGAGAGAGAGACGATCCTGTCCTGCAGCCCCCCGGTCCGAACAGTGTCCGAACATAACCATTTGGGGCACTTCCCCGGTGGAATTTTTTGATAAATTTTTTGAGCATTTTTCTCATCAAGTCTAGTTTGTCCATACCAAATTTCAGCTCAAAATTTGATCGGGAAGGCTTTCAAATCATTTTTTGAAGTTGACTGTGTCAAAATGTACATATAAAAACGCAGTCATTTTTTCATTTTCATTTACCCCCATTGCCGCAAAGGCTCCCACCTACGGTGGGGTAAGGGGGGGTCGGATGTACGCAGTCTTACCCCTGTACTAAAGCATAGAGAGACTGTTTCCGGATGACCCATAGTGAAAATCGCGTCCAAAATTGCATGGACTGGCTGCTGCTTCATAACAAAGAAGCGCAGACAGTTTAGTGAGCCATTTTGCTTTATTCCATCATATTCTCAAGCCAAAAAATAATGAATCTTTGGCTCCATTGCAAATGATGGAAAAACATATAAAAACGCAGTCAACTTCAAAAAATGATTTAAATGCCTTCCTGGTCGAATTTTGAGCTGCAATTTGGTATGAACAAACTAGACTTGATGAGGAACATGCTCAAAACCTTTCATCAAAAAATTCCACTGGGAAGTGCCCCAAATGGCCATGTTCAGACACTGTTTGGACGGGGGCTGCTGCCTACTGAACAGGATCATTTCTCTATATATATAACCATTTTATTCATTTTTTCACTCTATTCTACTTCTATTCAATCTTTCTACTCTCAAATTCTCAATCTTTAATTCTACATTATTCACATTTACACTTTCATCTTTCATATGTTCATATTATAATTATATTTAGGGAAAATGGAAATTAATAATCCAACCTTTTAGCGGTCTTCTTTTAATAGTCCGACCTTTTCGTTATTCATGAATAATCCAACCTTTGCAACTCATCTTCATTCATTGGTCCGCGACCGGTTGATGACCTGCTATTCCGAGTTATTTTCTTATCTCTTCAAACTATTATACCATAAATTCCACCTTTCACAAAGATAATATTTTGCAAAGATAAGAAAATAACTCGGAATAGCAGGTCATCAACCGGTCGGGGGACCAGTGAATGAAGATGAGGTGCAAAGGTTGGATTATTCACGAATAACGAAAAGGTGGGACTATTAAAAGAAGACCGCTAAAATGTTGGATTATTAGTTTCCATTTTCCCTTATATTTATATACTTATTAATTAATATACTACTATGCTTTTCCAAAAGATATTTTTATTCATTAGAATAATACTTATAATTTAATTGTTGTGCTTCTTATATTTAAAGACAATTTCTTTAATTTTATAAAAGAAACTTGTAATTATACTATACAAGCGATTGAGGTCAACACAATGGAGAAGATTGTGCAACGTTTTAGCTTATTTTAATAACGCTACTCAAACTTTTTCCCACGTGTATAAATCAACCAGTAACCGATTTTTATAGAAGCTGTTATTCTCGTCGGTGCTTTTGAAAAAAAACTCCCAAGCTACTTATGTTCATTATATTTGTGATTACATACAGGATTTTTTTAAAAAATATTTTGCCGACATTTTGCATATATATTCTATTGTTTTTTATGTCTTGATCCTCATTTAAAACTTTCAAATCATAAAACTTTTTTAGTGTGCTATTATACTGCTTTCTACGATGCGTTTGCTTTGCATTAGGAAACCCCTATATTGCTTTCTTTATTTCACGCTTAATAATATAATATGTCTCATGCACAATATGGTGACACACCTCCCTCCCCCAAAACCGCCTGCTTCTTCATCTAAAGGAAAATACCTTTTAAATCAACAATATCTAGTCTTTATACTTCCTTTCTCCCATAAAATTGTTCCTGCTCCAATTTGAACCTGAGTTTAAGAAAGTGGGAATAAAGTGGAAATGTATGGTTGTGGTTGAATAAGAAAAAGGGAAATGAATGATAACCACGCAAAACTTTTCATAGAGGGAAATGAGAACTATTTTTTGGGACAACCTAAAAAGGAAAGTGGGGACTATTTTATGGAATAGAGGGAGTGTAACATTTCTCGTTGAGTATAATTAAGGAGACAACTTGACATACTCCAATGGTGGAAGACCCACGAAGGGATGTTTCTGATTTTATAAAAATGGCCAAATAAGTGATGTCAATGCTGATTTCAACAGTTACCGCGGAACAAGAATTTAACGAAATCGATAATGTTGTGACTGACTATAGGACGAGGTTGAGCGCTTTATCTCGTGAGATGCTCGTTTGCTTTCGTGATTGGTTGAAGCCCCCCCGCCCCCATAGAACACAAGAAGTGAACATAGCACCAGACCGCCATTTCATGAAAGAAACGACAACCAACGCCGGAAGTGGCTCAGACGATTAGTTTATGTATTTAAAATTTAAACTTTAACTATTCGCAATTGTAATTTGTAAATGTGTTAATAACTTAATAATACAGGTCACAATGTAGTGTTTCTAATAAATATACATTTCTTTTTTAATGTGTATAATCATTTTTAATTTATTGTTAAAAAAGGTTCCGAACAAGCACGGGACCGGACCGGAATCGAGACCGAGACGGCACCGTGTCCACCCCTACCCGAAATCCGTGTAGAGTTGTACCATTAAAACTTTACTCTTTCATCATTCCCTACTTCTCTATAAACTGTTCATATGAAAAGTTAAAAATTTCCGGTACAAATCTCCTCCTACCTATGCAAGTAAAAACTAAAATCGTTTCCTAATAATGTTCTCCTACACAAATTATTTTTATGCATTTAAAGTATCCATGTGTATAATTTAAATACCCCTAAACATGTGCAATTTACATTATATGTACCCTAAATGTTATATAAAAAGTTATTTTCACACCATGATTATTTGTTTTTTATAAATACACTTATTGAAATAATTAGATAATTTAAAATACCTTAATTTAAGCCTTGTTAGAATAAAATTAACATTCTATTATTTCATTTTTGAAATAAATAATATTAAATTTAGTACGATTTAATATGAATTACATTTTAATAAGTTTTTTGTATATTCAAAATTATGTAATTAACATGATTAAATTACATTTATGAAAAATATATGATCATAATGAAAACATAACTTTTTGTATAAAATTTTGGCATATATTACATGTGAAAGTTTGGAATACATATGTTACACATCTTCAAAATTTGAGATATTTAAATTAAATATAATCCTTATATATCTAATAATTATAAGTATATCCCATATTCGAATGTCCCTTTTCAATAGGCAACAATAGAAGCCTCGGCGGGTATAACTAGCCCAATTATGAATTTGCTGAAATTGTTAGTTGCTCAATACAAAATTCGGGCTGTTCCATCGGCTGAAAATACATTTTTATTTGCCCCTTCAAATTATGAAAATTACAAAATTTCCTCGATTTACTCCGCTTTTCTTCTCCCTCAAGTTGCCCCTCCCATAAGATATCTGTTTGTTCTCATCTCTCAGATCAAGTCAGTCCTAACAAATACTCGTAGCTTTCCTCCGGTTAGTCTCCGACAGCTACACGTCTTTCCATTTATGTTTTAGTGATAATTTTTGATAGATCTCCCTTTTTGATTGATCCATATATTAGGGTTTCGTTGAATAGCAATCGCAATGACTAAGGATTCCATCAATGTTCCCGCCAAAGGCGGGTTTAGCTTTGATTTATGCACTAGGAATGCCATGCTGATGAAGAAAGGGGCTCAACCTCCTTCTTTTCTCAAGACGGGAACTACCATCGTTGGATTGGTTTTTGAGGTCATCACTATCCCTAGCTCCAAAATACTTGATATTCTCCGTCATTTGTCTATTTTGGGTAGTGGTATTTTGATGAAGTGTTCCTTGAGTTACAATTACCTATTTCATTTTTATGCTCTGCTATAAACTTGATCTCGTGAGTTATGTTTATGTGTTGTGCTGATAATGCCAATGGTGATGTTTTCTAGTTCAGCTTGCTAGGCGCCAGGCGGCCATTCACTTCCCGACTAGTGCCTTTTAGAACACTGAGTGTTACCATATTTTACCGTGTAATTAAACATTGTAATCTCATTGCAAAAAAACAACCACATTAACATTGCCTTATAATGTGGGTTGATGAAAATTTTCTTTCAAACTAATAGATTGATGATGTGGAGTGAAGCCAAAGGACAAACTTGGTTTAGTTGTTCCCTGAACAGCTGAACTTGCTATGAAGAAGCTGCATGTTATCCATGAAACTGCATGTTAACTTATTCTTGCATTATATTAACATTATTCCTTGAGTTGGAGAAGTGTTATGAATAGCGGATGAACAAAATTCTCTGTGAAGGCTGACCATTAATCTGCTATTTTACCCCACGCCCCCTACAAAAAAGTTTCCTCTAATCATTTTCCTTATAATAACCTTTTTCTTTGCGTAGCTATTAATTTATTATTTATTGGCTGGTAATTTAGTGTTTTCAATGCCCCATGTGGTCGATGCTCATTTATCTTGATTTCATTGCATGCTGAAGCAAAATATGATTATTAACAAGTCTTGTGGCGGTGATTATGTCCTCAGAATGGTGTCATTCTTGGAGCAGACACACGAGCCACTGAAGGACCCATAGTTGCTGATAAAAATTGTGAAAAGATTCACTTCATGGCTCCTAACATTTATTGTTGTGGAGCAGGGACTGCTGCAGATACAGAGGCTGTGACAGGTACAGCTTCCGTTCTTTTCCTAATTTTTATCTTAAAATCATTTGCTGCAATGGCATGTAGTCTGTCAGGTCTTTTTGTTCAGAGACTTTGGAGGGGAGTGAGTATTTTTCTTACTAATTAATCTCTGTCTTAGTCTTAGACACTGTTCTAAAAATCGGCCTAGTCGGACAGATTAATCAGCCTTGGCGGCCTAGGTGGACCTAACTGTAGAGGCCTAGTCGGCCTAGTCAGCCAAAAAATCGGTCTAGTCGGCCGCCTAGGCGCTAGACGCCCCTCAACCGCCCGACTAGCGCCTAGTGAGTTTTAGAACAATGGTCTTAGATTATGCTTAGCTAAATCATATGCCCTTTAGTATTAGGGAAGAGAAAACATTTAAAAAAGGTAAGCAGTTAGAGTAAACAGCTGTGCAGGTGGCATGTGTTTGGATTTTGGAAATAATGACTAATATATGACTACTAATAAAGATAGCCGACAAATTGTGACATTTTGTATTTAGTGACTACAGTAGTAACTGTTAGTGATTAATATGTTTAACTTTACATAATAGTGATCATAACGAGTGATGACATATTCAGTAATTTTAGTCTCACTTTTATCCATAAATTTATTTCAGTATATATTAGGGAAGACTTCTAAATAATTGGGTGGAGTAATTATGAATAATGTTGTTATCATGAGTTTGTTTATTTTAAGAAGTTATGATGTACGGAGTAGTAATTATTCAACACTTAAATTTTTCCCAAAAAGAGAAAGAGAAGATTCATGTGGGTCGTCGTGAATGGTAACCTTAATATGGGATGAACAGAGTATATTCCACTGAAACCTGAGGGTACAGTGGAGTGAGTGAGTAAAGTGTCTAGAAAGCAAGAGAGATAGTGTGTACTAAAAATGGTAGGGTGATGATACAAATCTCAAAATGTGAACCCCCTTCATAAGTTGTAAGGTGGTTTTCATAGTAAGTAGGTAACTTGATGGCTTAGCTAAGAGCTAATACAAAGATGGCATGTGTCCCTTGGCTATCTTGGGTAACACGCCTAGTGACAAACATGATGCTGGAAGCAGTACAGTGATGTCAGCCCTGAAGTCCGTGCATGATGATGTCAGTGGAGTATGTCGTGGGATTAGTGGCTTAATTCCTGCTAGGTAATGCTGGAAAGCCGAATGCGGCTAAGTATGGAATCTAGGGACGAGGCCAAGTTGAGAGCAGGTCCGCGCGTGGACTACTTAGCTGGAATATACCGAAGACTGGATTTACCCTTAGCCTCATCTGAGTGCCTCATCCACGACAGATGGGTCTGTTGGGCTTTTCCCGTAAACTGATTATTTGGACCCTGGAGTGTTTGACAATATACTTAATTACTTTATAACTATGAAATAAATTAAACATCACCCCTCTGCTCCAATATTTCCGAACTAAGGGATGGCTTTTGTGCAAATGGCTATTTTGTAGACATGGTCAGCTCCCAGCTGAAGCTGCACAGATATCACACTGGGCGTGAATCCAGAGTTGTCACGGCACTTACATTGTTGAAGTCTCATCTTTTCAAGTAAGCATATTGTCAGTTTTCACTAGGTTTCTATAGAAAAGTTATGTTTTATTTTATCTATGAGAGGGGGGGTCTAACCATGGTATAATTTAACAAGTTATCAAGGACATGTTTCGGCTGCGTTGGTTCTTGGTGGAGTTGATGTTACAGGACCGCATTTGCATACAGTGAGTAACTTCTAAAATCTTAGTCCAGCCATCTTTGCTTGTGTGACCAGAAAGAACTAATAGTGAATTGTTTTACAGATTTATCCACATGGCTCAACTGACACGCTGCCATTTGCTACAATGGGATCTGGTTCCCTTGCAGCAATGTCGGTTTTTGAGTCAAGATACCGAGAAGGTTTAAATGTGAGTAAACATTTGGCATTGCATTTATTCAGTTGCATTTGGACACAATTTGGAGGTTTCTTGTGCAATGAACGAAATATTTTAATGCAGAGGGATGAAGGAATCCAACTGGTGACAGATGCCATACTGGCTGGAATTTTCAATGATCTGGGTAGTGGAAGCAATGTTGATGTTTGTGTAATCACCAAGGTACGGTTACTTGGAATTGATTGTGATTAAGTTTTGATGTTTGAGACTTTTGAAGCAAAATACGTAATACATTTTTACTTGCATGGTAAAAAAAGAAACATTATGAATGTTGTTAGAAGTATAGTGGTCCTATCATTAAGGGAAAAATAAATAAAATATCCCAAACTTTGAAGGGGTGTGAGATGAACACCCAAACTTGCTCATGTAATTTAAATACCCTAAACTTCATATAAAAAGTTATTTTAGCACCATAGTCAAATTTTATTTCTTCAAAAATGTAAATTTATGGTGTTAATTGCATAATTTAAAATATTTTAGAACTCATGAAGCCACAATTATTATTCTAAACTTCCATTAGAAAATAGATAATGTTATCCCCAATCTATATAATTGCAACACTTTTAATTTTCTATTTTAAATTATGCAATTAACGCTATAAATTTACATTTTTGAAATAAATAATACATGAAAATGGTGCAAAAATAACTTTTTATTTAAAGTTTAGGGTATTTAAATTACATATGCAAGTTTGGGGTGTTTACCTCACACCCCTTCAAAGTTTGGGGTATTTTTATTAATTTTCCCTATCATTAAATGGTCTCATGGGAGACCAGGTTTTAAGGTGTGTTTGGTTAGACGGTTTGGAGAGTTTTGCTGTATATCTTAATATACATATCTGAGATTTGATTATAAAAATTGAAAGAAAGATAAACACAATACGTGATTGTACAATATTTCAATAATTCATTTGGAAACATTCTATTCATCAAGGAATATTCCAAGCCCTCCAAATTCTCCCCCTCCAAAACCATCTTTCCAAACAGATCCTTAAGGTTTTTCACTTGGGTATGGTTTAGCTTAGGTGGATTTGGCTCCTAATTTTTCTTAAATTCTTTATCTTTTGTTCTTTAGGGGCACGCAGAATACATTAGAAACCACAAGCTGCCGAATCCCCGAACATACCCACAGAAGGGTTATGCATTCCCCAAAAAAATCGGTTTGTGTTCTCTTCTTATTAATTGCTTTTTACTCTGAATACCATACTGCAATTAACGGTTTGGATGCTCAATTGAGTTGGAATTTTAATGTTCTTTTTTTCTATCTATCGACAGAGGTTCTTTTTAAAAAAGTTACACCATTGATTGACGCTGTGGAAGTTGCGGTTGAAGATGCTATGGAAGAATAAAGCCATCCATTGTTAATTTGTTTACTCTTAAAATAATGACTTCATATCCTTTCAGTGTTGTTTCAACCGGCCATTTTTATCAAACTTTGGTGCTTTCACTTTTTTCAATCGACTAAATTATGCCTTGAAGGCTAGAATGTTAAAAGCTATTATTGCTCTAGCGAAACAGACTAGGATCTTATCATCGTTGGGAGTCATGACTCTCAAGAAGATTAGGCCATAACCCATAGGCCATAGCCCATAGGTCCTGCATGAACTCTGCTGCAAAACAATATGTGCACTATGCAGGGAAGGATAGTCCTCATGACCTCATCATATGGATTTAAAAGATGGTCAGCTGGGTATAACTTTGTTTTTTTTTTGAAAGGATTGGTATAACTTTGTTAGTCATTGGGGTTGTGTGTTCGAGTTTGACAAACTTATTCCATGCTTCGTAAATATGTTCAAACATTTGTACACAAAATAAGTGCAAGTGCAACATAGAAAATACTCCTATAGTCCTATGCATACATCCTGTAACTGACGGACCGGGTTCACTTCTATGTAGTCATGGACCCGGTTCGGGCCGCCCGGCCCGGGACCGGACCGGCCTGGCCCGCCACTGTGCGGGCCCGGAACCGGCCCAGTTCTCAGGTCCGGGTCCGGGTCGGGCCTAGGCCCAGTGGGGGGCGGGTCCGGGCTCGGGCCTTGTATTTGGCGAACCGGCCGGGTCGGGCCCGGGTCCGGGCCAAAAACTGTTTTTTTTTTCATTTTTTTGGGCTTTATTGAGTTGGGCTTGATGTTTAGGACCGGTTTGGGGGGTGGGTGGTGAGGAGGGGGGGGGGAAGAAAAGAAAAAAAAAAAATAAACTAACCGGGTGGCCCGGCCCGGAACCGGTGGCCACCAGTTCGGGCTCGGGCCCAACAAAACAGACCCGAGGCCCGGCTGGGCCTAGGCCCGAACCGGCCCGGGGCCATCCCTACTTCTATGCATACATGATACATGGTGATGTAACTGCTCTTGTGCTAGTGAGGGAATAAATAATGCATTTAAATGCATTACAATTACAATGTTGTGACTTGTGACGATATGTGTAATTGTAGTGTCTACAACTATATGTCTACATGTGGTGTATCTAATAGAATAAGGCGAAATTGACACTAATAATCCCTACTTTTACACATTTTACAAAACCATCCATATTTATAAATTTCACAAAAATAATCTCTACTATTCAATTGTTTCATAAAAATAACCCGAGTGCTAATGGTTTTAACTTTTTCATTTTTTTTTAATTTTGAACATATCAAAGCAAAAATATGTATAAAAATTAATAATATTATATTTGAGTTTAATCATTTTCTATTTAATATTTAATATTTTTCATAAAATATAATAGAAATACTACCTAAGTAAGTATCTGTTTTAAATATTCAATATTCTACGTAATTTGTATGAATATTTAATGTAGTATTAGTAAAACTACTTTAAAATAAAAATGAATATAAATAAAATATGGATAAGGAATGAAAGCGAATAAAGAATTTGAAGAGTATGTACTATGTAGTGTTCAAATATTTCTACTCTGTATTATGTTTTATGAACAATAATATTGAAAATTAAATTAAATTTTTACTAGAAGCAAGATTAAACTCAAATGTAATATTGTCATTGGTTATATATATATATAATAGAGATCAAATACAAACTATGCTTAATTTACAAAGTACAAACTTATTTTGACCATCTGATGAGTTGATCTAAATGATATAAAGACAAGGTGACATTTTTGTAATAAAACCTAACTTTTCTAGGGTGCAACTCGTTGAACGTTAATGCGCAACTGCTATTTTGTGACTATATAATATGCAACATTTTGAACCTCAATATGCAATGCAAATAACGTCAAGGTGCATCGTACAAACATTTGCACAATAAGCACAGTTTGTACTTGATCTTTCCCCTATATATATATATATATATATATATATATATATATATATATATATATATATATATATATATATAGAGAGAGAGAGAGAGAGAGAGAGAGAGAGAAATGATCCTGTCCAGCAGCCCCCAGTCCGAAGAGTGTCCGAACATGGCCATTTGGGGCACTTCCAGGTGGAATTTTTTGATGAAATATTTTGAGCATGTTCCTAATCAAGTCTAGTTTGTTCATACCAAATTTCAGCTCAAAATTCGTTCGGGAAGGCATTCAAAACATTTTTTGAAGTTGACTGCGTCAAAATATACATATAAAAATGCAGTCAACTTCAAAAAATGATTTGAATACCTTCCCGAACGAATTTTGAGCTGAAATTTGGTATGAATAAACTAGACTTGATGAAGAACATGCTAAACAAATTTCATCAAAAAATTCCACCGGGAAGTGCCCCAAATGGCCATGTTCGGACACTGTTCGGACCGGGGGCTGCTGGACACGATCATTCCTCTCTCTCTCTCTCTCTCTATATATATATATATATATATATATATATATATATATATATATATATGATCGTGTCCAGCAGCCCCCGGTCCGAACAGTGTCCGAACATGGCCATTTGGGGCACTTCCCGGTGCACAACTATCATTCTAAGTATATATATGTGTGTGTGCGTGCGCGCGCGCGCGTGTGTGTGTTTAAAAAAGATTTAGGTTCATGTGAGAACTTAATCTTAGGAGAGTAAAAAAGAATAGATATCAACCATTGGATTAAGTTTTAATCATACGTGCGCCTAAACCTTCCCAAAGGGTATTGAAGTCAATTTGAATAGCTAAGTTCGTACACTTCCTAAACGCACGCCTAAACCTTCCATAACTATTTCTCCAAAATTCTTTCCAAAGATATTTTCAGCCTTTATCCGGCGTTTTTCTCTCCGGCGTTTTTCCTGTGTTATTCCTCCTTCGTTGCTCTGTTATTCTTCCTTCGTTTTCTCTCCGGCGTTTTCCAAAGATTCTTTAATCATCCGGCTATTTTCTCTCCGGCGTTTTCTCTCCGGCTATTTTCTCTCCGGCATCATTTGTCCTTATGGAGTTTGAAGTCGTATTCGGTCTGCTGCTCTGTTAAAAATATACATTTTCTCCCAATGAATCAAGTGCTTTTTAATCCACTTTGTTTTATGGTTAATTCTTATTTATTGATGATTTATTTGCTTTCACATGGTTTAATGATTGATAACGGTGCACAACTATCATTCTAAGTTTATGTTTATCTAGTTCTGCATTTTATAATTCAATAGATACTGAAATGCTAGTTGTTGAATTGGATGCAATAACAACTGTTTGTTCTTGCACTTCTATATATTTTCGTTGCACAATTTTTAGATTTCTAAATTTGGACTAATATAATTTTTAGATTTGTAGATTTGCACTAACGATGAGTGCACATGTCATTGTCATGCAATAATAAACGTTTCTTGTTGCACTTTTACTTATTGTTGTTGCACAATGTTTAAGTTTGTAGTTTCCACTAATCTAATTTTCTTATTTGTGGATTTGCACCAATAATTAGTGCATCTAAATTGTCATGTAATGCATTTTACATGTGTATTATGAAATACATACATGATAGCCACCAATTTTTAGATAATAAAAGTAAATTTTCAATTAAATTTTTGATGCACTAGCTTACTTTGTTCTTGCACTTTTCATTAATTAGTTTTTAATTTTACTTTTATTTTTGGCAAATACAGGTGAAATCGGAAGGCAACATCATATAATATGGAACAAGTATGATGCTTTTGGAAGAAAAGTGCAGTTCATAATGATAAAAGTGCGGATATGGAAGTTTAGAAATTGTAATATATAGTAGTGCAATTTTTATATATTTGGTATGCACATGATAAAAGTGCATTTTATTTTGTAAAAGAGTGACAATATAGTTATTCATGAAGCGTAATATAATAATGCATTTTTGTATATGTCTAAAATATACGCCTGGATATTTATATTCATTTTTAAAACATGTATGGATGTGCACAACATGTGTAGAGTGTAGATTAAATAGTCCAAATCAAAAACATGCAATCTCAATTATATCGATGCATATTAACTCAATGAACATCTCATTTCTTCTGAGATTGAAAAATATCCAAATACTTAACTAAATTGATGTTGCATTATATTCCGAATAAAATTGCATTTATTCAATGTCAAAGTGCAAATATACAAAATTAGATGGATGAAGTACTATGTCTAGGAAGATGAACAAAATGCACATTAGATTATCATAAATGCACTTCTCTAAATCAAACATGTGTAAATAAATATTTAAATGAACTTAGATTAATTGCTATGCTCTTTATGATAGTACAAATATACTTATTGAATTGTGCACAATTAGTAAAAAGAATCTGCACAATTAATAAATTTTTAAAACACTCGAAGACACATATATGTTATTGCAAAGATTCTATAAAAATGTGCATTATTTCCAAGTGCACGTTACTATTTTTTGTATTTTTAAATTGAGATCAAGTGTAACCTTCATGACTTCAGAATACAACTTGATTCGAGTAAAAGTGCACTTTCAAAATTAACTACTTTAAGTTTTTTTTAAAGGAAACTAATTTAAGTTAATATTTAAAATATTTTAATAGTGGAAAATACTTTGGAAATCCAAACAAATCATCAATTAATGGAAAACAATACGTAGCCCAAAATTTTAGGATTTATGCACTTAGTTGACCGAAATATATAAATTTGAGTGGTGATGCATTAACTAACGCGATTAATTCACTAGAGTTTTTACAATTTTGTCCTTTATACTTTGACCGTTCCAATTGATGTTAGAATTGCCATTCAAAGTTTGTATTAATTACCAAGCAACCATCACTAATGACAATCGATCTTGGTCTTTGATTTCATACATTGGATGGTTAGATTTTATTCTTTTTTCCTCTCCTAAGACCCATATCTCACCGGAACCGCTCCCTATATATATATATATATATATATATATATATATATATATATAGGGAGCGAATCAGGTGAGAAGTGCTCTTAGGCTGAGAATTGCGAAGTTAAACTTATAGACTAAATATAGGAACTTTTAGCCAATAAATCATAACTTATAGACCTCTCGAAAATAATTACGAAAATGCCACCGCAAAAAAATTATTACGGAAACCTGGAAAAAAATTTGATGCGGTGGCATTTTCGTAATTATTATGGAGAGCTTTATAAATTATGATTTATTGCTTATAAGTTCCTATAATTAGTCTATAAGTTTACTGCGTTGTAAGATCAGATGCAAATCCAAGGGCTGAGATTACTTGTCATTTTAAGGGACACTTCTCACCTGATCCTCTCTCTCTCTCTCTCTCTCTCTCTCTATATATATATATATATATATATATATATATATATATATATATACACACACACACACACACACACACTCCCTCCGTATTTTTTTGTTTACTACACTTTCCTTTTTTGGATGTATTCAAAAATTTGCTACACTTTCCCTTTTTGGTAAGTTTTTCCTTTAAAAATACTCAATCA